CCCTGACATTACCAGAAGTGTGTCAGAAGGCAACGCCCCACCGCTCAGGCTCCACTGGACTGTTTTGGATTGCTAGCTATTGGGGGGGGTGCAGATCTGTCCTCACAGAGGAGGGAGAGCTTGTACCTGAAGGCGGGCCAGTGGGGGGGCTCTGCAAGTTACCTGGCTGCTTCTTGCTCCTCGTGGCCCGACTGAAGGCTGCTGGGAGCAGGGGGCGGGGCTTGTTGCATGTGGCCGCCCCCTAGACTCCTTACTGCCGGAGCTCCGCTCCTGTGCGCTCCCACAGGACATAACCCCTGATTCTTGGTGCTTGGGGGGGGGCAGCGGTGGGAGGGCTTCTGGTGTCCTGGGCCCCAGTGCTGGACCTCCTGATGGCACCTGGTATTTTTGGCCACTGTATGACAGAGTGTTGGACTGGATGGGCCATTGGCCCGATCCAACATTGGCTTCTCTGATGTTCTTATGAGTTCCTTGGTGTCCTGGACCCACTGATGGACCTCCTGGTGGCCCCTGGTATTTTTGGCCACTGTGTGACAGAGTGTTGGACTGGATGGGCCATTGGCCTGTTCCAACATTGGCTTCTCTGATGTTCTTATGAGTTCCTTGGTGTCCTGGACCCACTGATGGACCTCCTGGTGGCCCCTGGTATTTTTGGCCACTGTGTGACAGAGTGTTGGACTGGATGGGCCATTGGCCCGATCCAACATTGGCTTCTCTGATGTTCTTATGAGTTCCTTGGTGTCCTGGACCCACTGATGGACCTCCTGGTGGCCCCTGGTATTTTTGGCCACTGTGTGACAGAGTGTTGGACTGGATGGGCCATTGGCCCGATCCAACATTGGCTTCTCTTATGTTCTTATGAGTTGCTATGCACAGTCAGCTGCAACTTGACGGGGGGGACAAATTGGAGACTATTTCTCAGACGGCATAAGATTACCGACGGGGGCTACTTAGAGGTGGAAAGCAGTAGTGTTGCATGTGGTGTAATTATAGACATCAGAAGTCCTTGCAGTACTCTGGTTCTTCTTGGGGGTAGGGCCTTTTCCGTTGAGTCTAATCAAACATGTCAAGACTGAGAAACCGATTATGCGATCCCTGACTGGTGTATTGCTTCTGGCATGAAGTCACCAGATGACCTTAGATAAACCAGTGCTCTCTCATCCTGAGTCCTAATGGAATAGTGAAGGTTCTGTGTTAATGCTGGTTATGAAAGCAGCAAACTGGATCACCCAGAAATTGGATAGAGGTTTCTACATATTTGGAGGGGGGGGGGTTGTTTGGCTCTTATTCATTTGCAAGCAAAAAAACACTCTCGCGTCCTTATGAGTGTCTGAGCATCTCACGGGAGGCGTGGGGAATGTTGAGGGCCGCTGAGAGTTACAAAAGAGATGTGTAGAAAGATCACTCCGCTCACGTCCCTGAGAGCCTGCAGAAATACAGAAGAAAATACAGGAAATTTAAGGGTGGGGGGATTTCCAGATGTTTGGCTACATCAGGGTTCCCCAGCGTTATGTCATGTGCTTCCGTGTCTGTTGAGAGAATGCAACCGGCACAAAACACAGTGGTCCACTTGCTAGCAATAGCTGGATGCTGGAAGCACATTGCCTCTTCTGTTCCAGCGTCGCCACCAGCTCCGTTTCAGTCTTCTGGGCAGTGTTCAAAGTGCTGCTTCTAAACTGTGTGGGCCTCTTTCTACCTGTTTCCTATTGCAGTCTCTGCAGTCCACCACATAAGAACGTAAGAGAAGCCAATGTTGGATCAGGCCAATGGCCCATCCAGTCCAACACTCTGTCACACACAGTGGCCAAAAATACCAGGTGCAAAAAATACCAGGTCCAGCAGTGGGGCCAGGACACTAGAAGCCCTCCCACTGTTGCCCCCCCCCCAAGCACCAAGAATACAGAGCATCCCTTGCCCCAGCCTGAGAGTTCCTATCTACACCTTGTGGCTAATAGCCACTGGTGGACCTCTGCTCCATATGTTTATCTATGGAGAGCCAGTTTGGTGTAGTGGTTAGGAGCGTGGTCTCTAATTTGGGAGAGCCGGGTTTGATTCCCCACTCCTCCACATGCAGCTGCTGGTGTGACCTTGGATCAGGTACAAGTTCTTTCAGAGCTGTTCTGGAAAGAGCTCTCTCAGCCCCACCTGCCTCACAGGCAATGCTCCCTCTAAGCTGTGGAGTCTTGTGAGCAAAATCCTACTTTGTGAGCTACTGGCATTGAAGTTGTGAGCGAGCGAATTGGCTCCTGCCTAAGTGAGTTTGCTCTGGAGCCATTCTTCCTGAGCTAAGACAAAAATGTGTGAGCCGGAGGCTAAAAAACTATGAGCTAGCTCACACGAACTCAGCTTAGAGGGAACACTGCATGGTGTCTGTCATGGGGAGGGGAAGGGAAAGGAGTTTGTAAGCCGCTCTGAGACTCCTTTGGGTAGTGAAGGGCGGGGTATAAATCCAATCTCTTCTTCTGTCTTCTTCCCTCTTGAAGCTGTCCATGCTTGTAGCCGTCGCCACCTCCTGTGGCAGTGAGTTCCATGTGTTAATCCCTTTTTGGGTGAAGAAGTCGCTCTCTGGGTGTGGGTGGATTTAGAGAACTGTTCACAGAGGATAACCCACAGCTAAGGGGAATGCCCGCCCTCCAGAGAACCACTAGAGTCATGAAATCCTAGAATCACAGAGTCGGAAGGGGTCATAGAGGCCATCTAGTCCAACCCTCGCTCAGTGCAGAATCAGCCTAGAGCATCCCTGACAAGGGTTTGTCCAGCTGCTGCTTAAAGACTGGCAGTGTGGGCGAGCTCGCCATCTAACCAGGCAGCTGATTCCACTGTTGCACAACTCTTACTGTAAAAAAGTTTTTCAACATCCAGCTGGTATCTTCCCGCCCCTATTTTAAACCCATTCAGATGAAATGCCTTTGACAAAACTACTCTCTGAGTGCAATTCTCCAACCAGTTCCCTGTCCGCCTAACTGTCCTAGAGTCCAGTTCACAGCCCTCTAGTTTACCCGTCAGAACATCATGGGGAAACCCTGTCAAAAGCTTTACTGGAATCCAGGTAAACAGCATCAACAGCATTCCCTTGATCCAGTAAGCTCATCACTCCATCAGAGAAGGAAATGAGGTTGGCCTGGCGGGACCTGTTGGGGACAAATCCGTGCCGACTTCCCCGGATCACCAAGTTGTCCTTTAGATGCTCATAGATCGATCCCTTTAAAAACTGCTCCAGTATCTTCCCTAGGACAGAGGTCAGACTGACTGGCCTGTGGTTTCCTGGGTCATCCCTCCTCCCTTTTTGGAAAATCGGGATAACATCTGCCCTCCCCCAGTCTTGTGGCACGTCTCCCGTCCTCCAAGAGGTCTGGAAGATGATGGCTAAAGCCTCTGCAAGCTCTCTAGAACGTTCTTTGAGCACTCTTGGGTGCATGCCATCTGGCCCAGGGGATTTGTGCTCATTAAATGCAGCCAGGTGCTTCTCAACTACCTCTGTGTCCATGTCAGGAGCAACTTCTTGAAACTGTTTGACTTTTACTCTCAGTGTCTGGGGCTCAATTAATAGCCTTTTTTTGGAAGGAAGGAAGG